GGTGAATTTTTAGAGAACAATAAGACAAAGAAATGGGACTTGGAGTCTCCGGGGTGGCAAATTGTAAGAAGGCAAATATGTGGTATTAATAGAGAAAGCCTGGTGAGTAAAGCTCAACACTGGGCACTCCTCTGGTGCCCCCTCCAGGCTGAGAAGGGTCTAATGTTGTCTTTGTCTTTCCTGGTAGCAACGGAGGAGCCCCCCACCTCTTGTTTAGCCGCCAGTGAAAAGTGAATTTCTGTCTTACTTGTAGGCAAATGGGGAGAGGAGAGGAGAGGCAGAGAACTTTGTCGCATTTTCTTCTTTGTTGCCTTCACCTCAAAATAATCCTTACACCAAAGTGGCATATTTGGGGGTGGCACATTCTGGTCTGCTACACAGATCATATCTCTGGCTGATGAGATAAAAATTATTTTTTCCTTTGTGCTTTTCCATATTTTAAAACTTTTCTAAGATTGAGTTTATTTTTTTGGAACTAGAAAATGCAAGTTAAATTAAATCTGTGTAGCAAAAGTACCCGATGTTTGCAAACAAAAGTAACAGTAAATGAAACCCTATTCCTGACCTCTTGCCCACTAGGGCAGTGACCCCACTGTTTGGCAATGCCTGTCTCCCAGCTGGCCCAGCTTGTCATCAGAGCAGTACTTATTTTCAGACTTGGTGGGCCAGTGGCTACCCTCAGCTGATGGTGTGCCCCAGGAATTGAGACTGTAACTAATGTGACTAAGCAATACAGGTGTGGGGAGGGGACGAGGCTGCTGGTGCTGGGCCATCGATGATCAGTACAGTGTGTGTGCCAGGCACCATTAGGACCTTCCTCTACGTGATCTTGTTTAGTCTTTGAAACAGTGGAATCATTATTCCCACTTAATAGATAAGAAAGTCCTTGGGTTGGAAGTTTAGAAATCAGAGTTGTAATTTTTTTTTGCCACCAATGAAAAGTGAAAACTCTGGACCAGATGGTGGATTTTAAAGTGGTATTTCTAGCAGCTCCAGGGTGCAGCAAAGATGCCAGGGAGGAAGGGGCTGCTGCCAAGTATGGGCTTGCCCTTTGCACCTGGGCCTGGGTGGCTCTGCCTGGATCTGTATTCCATGACTCTGTGTGTGCAGCTGGTGCAGCCACACAGGCCTGCAGGGCTCACACAGGCCCAGTGTTCAGGATCTAGCTCTGCAGGCACTCTTGAAATTCCTAGAATTTTGTCTTTGAATTTGTGTCAGTCAATCCAATGGACAAGGGAGCATGTGCTGGAGCGTGGAGCTATGACTCCTGCTCAGTCCCACTTGCTGATGCCGCCCTGGGATGTTCCTCTGCTGCCTGGGCCTCCTCTTCCTGCTTTGCTGCCATCCCTAGGGGGAGGGAGAAGGGAGCTGTGATTCATGTCCTCCAACCCTCACAGGGATCTGGCCATGTGTGTAGGGGAAGATTAGGGTCAGGTGTGTTCCTTGAAGTGCCTCAGGGGTTGGCCATCCAAATCTAGGTTGGCCACAGTGCATTCAGTGGTTGGATCTAGTAGTGGTCTTCCTCACCTTTCGCCTAGATGCAGGGCATGAAACACAAAGAAAATGGCAAGATCTGTGTGGCCCTCTGTAACAAATAGCAAAGGTAGTTCTGCCTGGCCTTGGGTCCCACCCAGTGGCCCCAACGGCTGAAGCAGTTCTACCCTAGTTCAGGGAAGTGGGGTCTCTGCCTCGGAATTGTGCCTTAGAGGCCCTCTGCCCTTCCTCCCATAAACACAAGATGAGTTATCCAGGGGTTGAAGGGACATAGGTACCAACACCCTCACCCTCCTTTAGAACTAGTTGCTCCCCACACTCTGCTCCACTGCAGTCCATCACAGACAAATATAATGGTCCTACTGTGCATGACTAATACTCAGCTCACATATCTTGTGACTCATCACATGACTTTGACAGCACCCAAACTAGTCCATCCCCTGATCCATCAGAGATGTTCAATCAGACAAGTTTGCTTTTGGATATTCTGACAATGTCAAGTTGCTATAGAAATTTCTAAATTTCTAAATGCTTGCACTCTGTTTTTATACTTACCTCACAGCAGACAATAGCATGATCCCTGGCCCACACTAAATCGCTCTATTCTAGGCTCTTCTGTGGGTGCTGGGACCGTAGAATTCAGTCTAAATCTCACCAAGCCCAAGTCCCACCAACCCTGCTTCCAGGGTCCTCACAGACCTCTTCTCCTGAGCCATTCTCCAGGTATGCCCTGCCCTGGGCACACACTGATCACAGACAGGAGGGGCAGAGATGAGATGTGTGCTGGAGTGCCCATACTTATGTATTTCAGGCCCCTTTGGGGCAGGATGGAGGATAAGGGGCTGGGAAGAAAAAGGAACAGGCTGCAACTGGCAGAAGAAGGGGCTGCAGAGATCTGGGGCAAGCCCCCACAAAGGAATCCCGCTGGGAATCCATCCAGAGCACACAATGTGGTGAGGCCTCTGGACCATGCCTTTTCTGTTGTGATGTCCAGTGTTCTGTATTCTGATTTCTATCCCATGGCCACGGTGAGGGCTTTTAGTGTTTGGCAGAGCGGTGGGTGACACGTGGATAGGTGTCCTGCGGACCACCGTCTCCTCAGCCGGGAACCTCAGTATCATCAGCCCTGCTCAGTAGCCCACTCCTCCCTGCCCCAGTATGCCAAGTACACTGTGCTTCTGACGTCTGCATTGTGGCAAATCACTTCTCAACACCTGGGGAAAGGATTTTGTTTTCCTCAAGTTTGATTGAAAGCAAGCCCAGGCAAACATCCTTTCAAAGGAAAGAGAAACAAATGGCTTGACAATTTTTTTTTTAAAACTACACAATTAGCCAATAGGCATATAAATAATGTCATATAGCTAATAAATCAAGAAGGATAAATCTGAGCAATGAGATACTTTATTTTGCCTGCAAAATTGCCAAAGATGAGAAAGAAAACTATTCAGTATTTGTTAGAGTTTAGTAAGTACTGCTGTTTTGTGTATTATTATTATTTTATTGAGACAGAAGAGCAATAGGGAGAAAGATTTGTAGAAGTCAATTTTGGGATATATTGCTAATGACTGAAAAATGCACATCCTTTGAAATCCTGAAGACACTGTTCCACAGTCTTTTTATATTGGTTGCTGATGAAAAGTTGTCCGTCTCAATCTTTTATTTTTTTCCTCTTCTAGAGCTGTTCTTGTTATCACTGATGTTCTGAAATTTCACTAAGAAACCTCCAAGGCTGGGTTTCTCTTTTCACTCAGTTAGCCAAGTACTTGGTAGGCCGCTTCAAGTTGGGGTTTCTCATCCTCCTTCAGTCCTGAGAAACCCTTATGTACTATTTCTTTGAATTTTGCTCCCCTCAGTCTTTTCTAGCTTCTCTTTCTAAAACTCTTGTTAGATCAGGGTTTAATTTCTGGATTTTTGTCCTGTGTTTCCTAATACATTTTTTATACTTTCACTTACCATTTTGTGCTACTTTCCAGGAGAATTCCTTGGCTTGCTCTTGTAGTTCACTAAATTGTCCTTTAACTATATCTCTCCATTATTCAGCTTCTCTAATTGAGTTTATTATTATTATTATTCCAACAGTTAAGACTGTTATTTCAGGCTCGGTGCCTGTGGCTCAAGCAGCTAAGGCGCCAGCCACATACACCTAAGGTGGCAGGTTCGAATCCCCAGCCCGCACCCGCCAAACAACAATAATGGCTGCAACCAAAAAATGGCCGGCGTTGTGGCGGGCGCCTGTGGTCCCAGCTACTTGGGAGGCTGAGGCAGGAGACTCGCTTGAGCCCAGGAGTTGGAGGTTGCTGTGAGCGTGATGTCATGGCACTCTACCCAGGGGGATAGCTTGAGGCTCCGTCTCAAAAAAAAGACTTACTTCAGATACCTCTGGCTGACCCTTTTTGGGTCCCTCTTGTTTTCATTTTGTATTATATCATCTTCCTTCATTTTTCTGAGCAGATTGATTACATTTATCTAAAATTCTCTCCTGCATACCATATTAACTCCATTTCTTCTGGGGTTTCCAACAGAGTTGTCTTTCTTTAGTGGTGTTGGCCTTCCCCAAATGTTTGCTTGTTTTGTTTCTCTCCTAATTTTTGTGACTGAAATTTCCTATTAGAAAGTCATCTGCATTTGAGAAGCCCACTTCGAGGCAGGGACTACCATGGGCCTAACTCTTGGCACTGTTTTCAGAAAGCCAGTCTTGGCCTGGATATCTTCTTTCTTTCAGCTTTCCCAGCCTCTGAGACAAACTCCTTGTAGACCCCTCATCACTGTGGTGTGGCGTTAGCTGGTTGAGGAGTAGAATGGCCAAGCTACCTGGCTGCTTCTAGTTTCCTTTATGGCTTCGGCAGGGCCTATTCCTGCTTCTTTCATCCCCCCAGGTACTACCCCTCCTGCTTCCTTTCTCTTTCCAAAGAGAAACTTTTTACCCATCCTGAATCCCTCAGGCAGACCTCCTCTTGCTTTTTAGTGAGACTATTAAATGTCTTTCTGTCAGTTCTTGGCATCTGTTCTCTGAGGCACACATTTTCCGTTCTGCCCTTTGAGGTGAAACGATGCAAAACTCTCTCTGTAACCTTCAAGCTAATAATCTCCCTTCTAGGAATTTATCCTGAGGATGGTAATTAAAAGTAAAACTTTTACCACAAGGAGTTTCATCACGGTAACTTATGAGAAGGTGGAAACATGTATCCAGTGAAATGGGATTGGTTAAATAAATGGTGAGGTATCCGCACACAGCAGACATGTGTGAAAAATAATATGGCAGAATACGTATGGGAAAATGTCATCAAGGTATCATTAAGGGAAATTTTCAGGTTACATAATTGTTTTAAAATCTAATTTTGGGGAAAAGCACACATATTCTTATAGAAAATTGTAACTGTGCATGTTGGGATTTCTGGTGACTTTCATTTTTTTCCTTTTGGTTCTTTTTCTCCACAATCTCAAGATTGTTTGTTACACCTGCCGTGTGTGAGCCTCTGATGCCACCCTCTGCTTCCCTTCCCCAGGTGTGCTGGAAGACGGACTGTCCTCCAATGCTGTGCCCCGATCCACAGCTCCCGGTGGAATGTCCAACCCAGAGAAGAGGACGAGTTGTGGGACTCAGTGCCCAAACTCCCAGACCCTCAGCTCAGGCCCTCTGACCCAGAAACAGAACGGCCTTCGGACCACAGAGGTAAGATCCCAGCCATGGATTCAACTGAGGACTGGAGAATGGAGTAGGGCTTGTTCAGGGCAGAGCCAACCAGAGGCTGTGTCCTGGGCAGAGTGGCTCACCTTGGTGATAGAAATTCTCTACCCTATATAGAAAATTTTCAGTAACCCTCAGCTCAACCCCAGATTATCCCCTGCCTGACAGTTACATTTTTTGTTGAATCAGAGAAAACTGGCCTTTGATATCTACACTCTAAAGGAAGTATGTGTTTACTTACATACAGCTTTGTTCAAGGATCTCCTTGTGTGTGGCATCTCTTACTGTCTTAGTAGTGAGGACTATGCTGGTTCCAGAAACCAGTCTTGGGCCAGGCAGCTGGCCAGTCTTGGGGCTGGCTGGGTGGGGAAGGAGAGAGGCTGGCGTGGTAGGACACAAGCCTGGCATTTTGCCTTAGACCCTCCAACCAGGTGGGCAGGGGAAGGGTCCCCAAGGATGGCTCTCATAGTAGAATGCAGGGATAGCATCACTCTAGACTGTTGCTATTAGAGAGGGGGCAGGACAGTGGTGTCCCTGCACCTGGCTGGCATCCTTTCTGATCCTATTTTATCTTAGAGCTATGGTTGGGAAGTGTTCAGCCTGTTGCCCATGGCTCCTCCCACAGGTGCAGGGGGTGCAGCCCAGAACAAATGCTCCAGGTAGGCCAGGGTCAGGGTCTGCAATCCCTTCCTCCTACACGGTTCCTGCCTCCAACTTCCTCACCTTTCCCATGCCCCACCCCCTTCACAGTCCACTGCCGACTGTACTCCAAACCCATTTTCTCCTGTCTCCTCAGTCAAAACTTACTGGTCCTGTCTGTCCCTTCAGGCCAACGCCATCTGTTTTCTGAGGGTATAACTTATTATCTAGGGATGGAATTCTTGCTCACAACAATGAGTTGCCTCTTTAAGCTTTGGCCAAAAACTTGTTGCAAATTCACCTGTAAAGCTCATTAACTAAGGACCTCACAGAAATCATTTAGTCTCTCAGAATCTCAGGTTCTTTATCCACACAATGGAAAAAACACCAAAACGAGTGAGCAGAAGGGCCTGCTCCTGGAGGTGTACTTAACAATGGCAGGAAGGAGTAACAGGGGATAGTTAGGTGCTGTAACTCACTTAAATAAAACACTAACAGTGGCTCCGCAGACATGGAGAAGGAAAGAGGAGGGGTGGTGGTGACCCTCCTGTACTGTGGGATAGTGGTGACCTTCCTGTACCGTGGGTCCTGCGTTGTTCACTTTGTCTGGCCTCCTAGAGACCCAGTCATTGTTGTCGTCTCCCAGGGCAGACTGGGCCTCACAGAACTGTGTTCAGAAGCTTGGTGACTGCTCTAGTGCAGGCCCTGTCATTTGTCCTCTAGTCTCCTCCCCACACGTGTGCCTGTACTCTGAGCCAGAACGGGCGGTGGTAGGAAGAAGGCAGCTTTCCTGGAGGGTGGTGTGATCCATGCACTTGTTTCCCCATCTCATTTCCTGCCACCATCATTCATCACTCTAAAACTATATTTAGCAGCTCAGAAAGTGCTTTTAGGTTTACTGGCTCATTAAGTCCTTCTAAGAACATGTGAAGTAAGCACCATCCCCATTTCATACTCAAGGAAACTGAGATTCCTTTGGTTGTGTGACATGAATAAGGCCATGTAAGTGCTGGAGATGGTTGTCAGAAACCTTAAATAGAAAAAGGTGGCTGTCAGAAAGGGGTAACATGAGGTTTTAAAGTTCTTTTGTTCTAGGAGAATTTGGTTTAGTCAGCTATTATCTCAATAATGGTGTATAACAAAGCACATCAACATTTAGTGGTTGAAACAACTGCTTTCCCCTCTCCAGGTCAGCTGCACCGTGAATGGGCTAACCCTGACTTTGGCTTCAGGCTCCAGGGCTGGCTCAGTCTATTCCATGTGCATTAATATTATTCTGGAAATCAGGTCAAGAAAGCATCAGCTCTCTAGGGTCTATTCTTCTCATGACTATGGCACAGACTAGCCTAGTTGAACACAGTTCATATCTCTGCTCCTACAATACCAACTAATACCCTACTGGGCAAAGTAAGTCAAACGAACAAGCCCCACATAAAGCAGAAAGGCCTACTCCATCCAAAGTGGAAAGAGAGCCAAGAATTAGAAGCAGTAAAGCAGTCTGCTGCATGTAACATACATATGGAAAATGTGGAAGTCTTAAGTTGAATGAATTTTTGCGAGCTGATGTCCCCATGGGACCATCATGCAGATAAAGCCATAGAACATTATCCCTAACCCAGAAATCCCTGGTGCGCTCTTCCCAGCCACCATCCGTCTCCCACATTGTAATCACGCTTCTGACTTCTAGCATTATAGATCAGTTAGGTTTATTTTTGAAATCCTTATAAATGGAATAATACAGTGTGGGCCTTTTTGTGTCTGGCTTCTGTTGCTCAACATTATCTTTGTGAAAATCATACAAGCGGTTGTGAGTTGAGATAATTTTCTCATTTTTATTGTTATGTATATTTCATTATATGAATTGACCACAATTTAACCATTTTATTTGATAGACATTTGGGTTGTTTCCAGTTTGGGGCTATTGAGAACAATATAGCTGTTAACCTTCTTGTATGTGTCCTTCAGCAGACATTCACTTCTTTGGGGTACTTACCTAGAAGTGGAGTTGCTGTTTCATAGGATGGGGATATATTAGACTTTGGATCTTGACAAATGGTTTTCCAAAGTGGTAATATCACTTTACACTCTAACCAGCAGGAGATGAGCTCTAGCTATGGAAGAGAAGAATTTAAAACCAGTACTTTGTACTCAATGTGTCTTCCTAAGACCTGTGGTAGCAACTATTGTATACAATGTTGCACTAGGTACAACAACGCATACTAAATACTTTGTTATGTTATCTCACTTAATCCTCACCATAATGGTAACGTGTTGATATTGTCTCTAGTTTATAGATGAGAATTAAGACTCAGAGGGAGCTAAGGAAAGCCCGCCTCCACACCACACATACACATACACACACACACATGCTCTGGGAGTTTGGGGGACATAATAACTGGATTGGAGCCAATGTCCATGGGGCTCCAGCAGCTGTGGAAACAGTGTCACAGGAGAGTGACAACCACATACGCCTGATCAACATAGGACACTGAGCAGATGATCATACCTATACACAGGCCAGGCAGCTTTTATTTTCACAAATCAATGAACATGGCTGTATTGTAACTATTCCCAAAATAAAATCAGGGAGCAGATAACTTCAGTTTTCAGAGTTTGGGCAACTGCTGAAGTTTATCAGTGGTCTTCAAATCCTGAGACCTCACCAGCCGCCAGACATCCTGCGTCTCTCAAAGGGCAAGGCGAAGGTTTTCTATCTAAGGGTGGCTAAGGTGTAAGTTACAAGGGAAGTTCAGCTCTGATTAAAGCTTCTGTCAGCAGAACTATTTCATAGCCTCTCAACTGCTTAAAATCTGCCTGAAGAAAATAGTTTTCTTCCTGTTCCCTCCTGGGCCTTTGATATACTGTCTTCCTAGTGTGTCTCTTCTACTCAGGGCCGAAACTCCATACTTTTTTTTTTTTTTTCAGTATCTGGCTGAGTCAGCACGCATTTGCCTCTTCTAGTCTTCCTGTGCACCCCCAAAATGACCTACTAGTGTTTCACAGAGTTCTCTTTGTGCATCATTCTTTGGCATATTTTTAAAGCTTTCCTTCTCCAGAAGTCTCCATTTCATGAAGTATGCATCCTCATCCACGGGTCTGCTACAGTTTCCCAGTCAGATTTACAGAACGAGTTTGTGTGTTTCAAGCAATCCTCTCTGGGCCTGGCAATTTTCCTCATCAGTTCCTATAACTACTGTTAAGATTCGGTCACCAAGTGCTCACGGAGTGCTGTCTAGCAGCCAGGCACTGTTCTAGTGCCAAGAAGCCAGGAGCAGAAAAGGCAGGCATAGCTTTTGCTGTGAAGCCACTGCCAGTTTTAATGGGGTGAGGGTGGGGACTCAGAAAATATAGAATAAATAAGCAAAGCATTTATAGGAAGAGGATAGTTATTAGTAGGAGGTAGCAACTGCTCTATCTAACACAGATGCCACCCCACAGTTCAAAGCGTTTTCTGGAGGGTGATGGGGGGCACCTAATATCGCTGATGACTGTGACCAGCAGCAGCTCGTGCCCTGGGCCTTTCTTCACTTCATGGCTTCAACAACAAATCGTATCTTTCTTTTTTCACTTCCCTCTAACCCCTGCCTTATGCCTGGGGTTAATAGGTGTTAACTGGCAAAAAGATTGTGGCAAAAAGGATCTTTCACAAACTGGAACTGACTGTCTCGGTGGGGAGCTCTTTCCCTTTCTCCACTGCATCTTGATTTCCTCGATCATCTGGGGCCTTATTGACTCTGCAGGGTCTGATCCACCACTGGCTGGGTCTCCTTCCTCTGGCTCCCTACCAGAGCCAAACAAACAGCACGAGAGGCAGGTCTGCAGTGGCCTGTCTCGTCCTGCTCGTCACTTGTTCAGGAGCTCTGGGCGGCCTCCAAACAGTACTCTCTAACCTGAATGTGCCGTGTCCTTGGCTTAGGACTCTTGGTTTTTCCCCTCCTAAATTATCTCCTCAAGGGCGGCGCCTGTGGCTCAAAGGAATAGGGCACTGGCCCATATACTGGAGGTGGCGGGTTCAAACCCAGCCCCAGTGAAAAACTGCAAAAAAAAAATTATCTCCTCAAGTACTGAACTATGGTAGACATGTAGATGTGGATACAGCTTTATGCAGACAAAGCTCTGAATATATGGCTGCCTTCCCAAGGAGCCTTCATGCCTTCAGAAGCTGCATATTTTTGAGTTAATTTATTATCTTTGGCAAAGTGACCAGTCCATGCTAAGGGAATTAGCTGGACTGATTCTCAGCTAAGGAGCTTCCTCCTCCTCCTGCCCTTCCCCTACACCCAGGCACTAAAAAAGACTGGGGGAGGGAGCCCCACAGAGATGGGAAACCTGATCAAAAAAGGTTG